CTAAAAAAGAATATTACTTATCTCAGATATTGACTTATTAAGCTCAACTTTTTGACTTAATAATCTCAAAAGCTATTAATTTAAATATTTCTCAAAATAATGATTTATATATTCAACTATTGACTTATATTTCAAAATATTAACTCAATAATCTAAAAATATTGATGAAATATCTCAAAATAATGACTTCTCAAGTTATCTTAAAGTCATATTTTTGGTAGATAATAATCATTATAGAGAGAGAGCTCCTCTCATTGTAATGACTCGCACGACTCCTTTGCTTCCGTCACTATGGCACTAAAAAGATATTAACTCATTATTTTGAGATAATAAGTGATTTACTAAGACAGTTTCTCATTATATAGAATAGAATATATATTTTCCCTGTCACATTGGCAGTTATGTGCTTCCATACATCCTCGAGCTCAGGAGAGTTAAAGTTCAACCTGATTGTTGCAGATTATTTAAGAATAAACCTGAGAATATCACAAAGAGGGAGTGATGTAGATCAGTGGTTCTCAACCTGGGGATCGTGGACCCCCAAAGGTCACACAGTAAATAAAAATGTGTTTTGTATTCTTTAAACAAATTGTTCCTATATTAAATATTTATCTGTGTGGGTTCAGTGAGAGGCCTGAATACAGTCGGTACAGCTCAGTAAAATAAACACTGATTTCTCCGAATCGTTCTCACGGCTCTCCGGTTTCACTGTACACACTCAAAATAAAACAACAAAGAGTCATCAGTATTTCAGCGTCAGGGAAGGTCAAACTTTCACTTCTCTCAGGGTTAAAGCAACCTCTGAAGGTCAGTTAAAGCTCCAGTGTGAAACATTGAGGAAGATCTGTTGGCAGAAATATAATATAACATTCATAAGTATGTTTTTATTAGTGTATAATTACCTGAATATAGGAATCGTGTTTTTGTTGAGTTTCGTGGCCTCAAGAGTTCAGATCAGTTAGTTGGAGTCTGAAATTTCACCATTAGATGCCACTAAATCCTTCACATTGGTCCTTTAATGTCAGTTAATGTAGTTTATTTTACTTCAGTAAATTAACAGTATACATAGCCAAGTGTCTGAAACCTGCATTCTATGTAAAGGCCAGCAGGGGGCAGCGCTACTGGTTGCAATATAAACAGATACCTGATTTCCTGATGAGTTTCTGGTCTCAGTCTCTAGTTTTCAGTCTTCTTCACATACGCATGATGTTCATTTAGTAAACTGATGCCCATTTAGCAGTAAAACAGACCATAAAGCAGGGTATGCTTTAGGGCGGGGCTACCTTGTGATTGACAGCATTCTCAGTGAGTCCGTTGGTTTCATGCAGCATGTTGGGAAGGTAGTTAAACAATTCTGCAAAGTAGGGCTAAATTTAGTTATTTTGTTGGTTCTATGGGAACAAACAAGTCTCCTCTTTACAGACACGCCCACTTCTTTCTTTGGTGTAAATGTGTTATTTTCTTCTAGTGTATGTGAATATTTATGTATACTGGGCTCCATAAACAGTGTAGCATGAATTGGGAACGACTGGAAAGCTGATACTTAATGCCAACCCCAGTCAAAAAAGGTCTGGGAACCCCCTCTGGATACGAAGACTTCAGTTTGTGTGCACCAACCCGTTATTGACTTGCTTCAAGCAGCTAACTCACCAAAAAAGGGTTTTAAAGTTGTCAAACTCTTTCTCCAAACTGCTGAGTTCAGGTCTCTGCGTGCCGGTTCCAGGTCATCCTCACTACATTTTTAGATCTTCAATCTTTCCCAGTCGTCCTCTGCCAGCTCACTAGCAGGTGCTGATCGGTTCCTCCCTTCAACACAAATGTTCTGGCACCTTTTCTTCTTCTGGACGCCAGACAGAGCGACCAGCTGCAACTTCTAACATTGTTTAAAACCACAGAAGAAAGTGGATCACGGGGAAGCTCCTCCTTCACGAGTTTGGTGATTAAACTTTTATTTTCTCTGTAATTATTGTGCTGGATCACAGCGCAGCCGGAGGATTATAAGCTCTATTTTTAGCCTTGTAAAAGTGTTAATGTTACATATCAGAGTACACCATCGCTCAGACTCAACAAATTGCAACCAGCGTCAAAAGATGGGTGTGAACTGAGGCCAGATGGTGAAGCAGATCATGAAACCCACTGCTGTTGCATACCGTTTGTTTATTGCTTCAGGGTGTATTAAATGTTATTATATTGCACTGATGCTCTCAGAAATATGGATGGTGTCATTGTTGTTATAAAATACATTTAAAGCTTGGACTTTGTTTACCAGACCATGTTCTGTGTAAGTAAAACCTTTTATTTTACATGTTTTATGCCCTCAACATTTACAGGAAAGAGCAATATTTCACATATAGTGATTAATACTTTAACATTAAAGGACCAGTGTGTAGGATTTACTGGCATCTAGTGGTGAAGTGTCAGATACAGCTCAAACTACGGTGGCAAAACAACCACATCTGCAACGGGGGAACAAACCCATGAAGTCGGATTTCCGACCAGGAAAGTTGAAAGAACCTCAACAACTCCAAGATTGTTGCTCTGTGAGTTAACTAAGTAAAAACTACATAAACAAAGACAAACCACAATAACTAACTTGTGACAAAGTTCAGTCTTTCTTAGAGAAAAAAACTATGTAAAAATTACCGTAAATACAAAATCCAACCAGTAAACTGCAGTTTCAGTGTAAATCCTGAATTCTGGACAAAGCAGGAATTAAAACAAAGGTTATCTTCATTTTCTCCACTGGGAACTCTTACTGACTTCATCTGTGTGTTTTTAGCTGACTGTAGCAGATACTGATTATAGTTCACATATTACTGCGCTAGTGCTAGTTAACTAGACAGGTCAAGGTATTACTGTGCTAAAATAAAAATAAATGTGTAAGGTAAGGTTCAACTTCACAAAATAATACTTAAATGATTAATTACTCATCTATTTCAACTTTTTATACACAAAACAATAAACAATAAAAAATATAGATTATTTATTGTAATAAATTAGATGTTTTCAGGAAGAAGACACTTTACACTACATATCTGTTTATGCTAATATGCAATGAAAATTACTTATATATTTAATACAGACAGACAAACATATTAATATTTTCAAACAATCGTTCATAGAGACACACAGTATGTAAACTCATTCCTTCCAATCTTAGAATTACAAAAACTATAAGTTTAATTGTAATATCTTTAACACAGCAGCTGCAACCAGCAGTAAAGACTGAACTGATCCTCCAGTGCCGATAACACTGGACCCGAGCAGACCTCCTTCACATGGAGGATCTGATCTCCTCAGGAGCTTCACGCCACCTGCTGCGAGGAGGAAGAGGAGCACGTTAAATCTTTCCCTACGTTGGTTTTGGTATCGTACATGTGGAGCGTTCATACCGCAGTGAAGTGCACGACGGTGAGCGCGGTGACGATCACGAGGCCAATAGCAAACGAAACGATCCCCAGGTGGAGAGCTTTCCGACCGAGCCGCTTGGAGCCGTCGTAGTCCTCTTCGTCATAGCTCCTTTGGGCCTACAGGGTGCGCGAGAGGTCAAAGTTAATCACTTTAAATCAATGATTTTTCTTTAAAGACCCCTCAGTTTTATGTTAATATAGGCCTCTAACAAATGGTTGAAACATCGATTCATGATAAAAGTATGAAAAATCATCCTCATATAATCACATATTCATCAATGGGCCCTTCATAAGCCCCGCCCCTTTTTGGGGTCCTCCAATAATAGTTTCTTGTATGTAGATATGCTATATGCTAGGCTAATCTGCATTGAAAAGACAACCACATTTTGAAGATGATTAAAAGATAAAAGAAACATGTTGTAACAAGTCAATTGTGAGGTAGCTTAGTAGGCTAGCACTTTGCTATAGAGCAAAACACGAGCTAACTAGGTAGCTAATTACAGTAATTGCTAGCTAGCTAGTTACATCTGATAGCTAACTAGCAAGCTCACAATTCATATGTCACATTTATCTTTAAACCATTTTTAAAATGTGGTTGTCTTTTCAACATAGAAGAGCTTAGCATATAGCATATTGCTTGCTAACTATCCTGCAATTTTACATAAATCGTTATGTATCTAGTAGGTTTATGTTTTGCTATCATTAGCTAACTTAAGATGTGACTATATATGTGTGTTTTTTTATCTTTTAACCATCTTCAAAATGTGGTTGTCTTTTCAACATAGATTAGCTTAGCATGTAGCATATCTAAGTAGGTAAATTAAGGTTTGAAAAGGCGTTTATCTCAACATCACTACTTTCATCGCTAACGGACAATTCAACTGATCGAGCATATTTTTAGATCAATCAGTTAAATTTCAACACGTTTTTCTGTATTTATATATATTTATATAGAAATAGAAATAGAACATTAAAGGGTTAAGTAATCTGAACCCAGTGATGATGTTCGTATAAATTCGGGACTATATATATATATGTAGAATAAACTGGTTCCACCCTCTGTGTCAATGTGACGATAATCTTCTGGCTGTGAATCCACATTTCTCTGCCTGCAGCTGCTTTTCTTCTGATCTCTAATTCATATTTGTACTGAAGCCAAACAAGAAACAGAGGATTACAACCACCATCATCTTGTTACTCACAGCTACAACGAGGCAACAGCTGCTGTTAGACCTGAGTGTGCTGCTCCGATCAATACTTAAACTCACTGGGATCAATTCATTATGTAGAAACTGGAAATATATTTGATCAGTAGAAGTATTTGTTCATTCAGTGGACTGCAGAGGCTTTTTCTGTATCTCATCAGATTGAGTTTATACTATAAATCATTTGTAGTGTTAAATAACATGTTTGCTACTCGATCAATAAATCGATAAAACACGTTAATTAGGTCTAAATATACTATAAATCCAGACCTCATGTAAACACATTTATTGTAATTCACACATTTATAGTCATTTAGTAGTAATTTAGTACACATTTATAGTAGTTTAGTACACATTTATAGTA